AATGACCAAAGAGAAAATGCATGCGAAATGATATCCGGTCTGCCGTTTAGAATATGTTGCGCCAGAAATTATTCTGAATAAAGGCCATGATATGGCTGCTGATTGTTGGTCACTTGGTATATTGATATATCTATGCTATACGATCGATTAATTTTGTTTTGAACGCAGATATAAACATACTTTACGGACGGAAGTTGTCTGTCACTGGCTAACGAGAATGATGAAGGCGAAAACCAGAACAATATGGAGAGTTACGTCAATGGTCTTTTATTTCCTGCTGTGTAAGCTAATGAGATGGAGTCGAAAGAATCAAACTCTAATCGAACTTTTCAAGTAGAGGAAGGCAAATCTGACACGATTGATTAGAAGTTCATTGAAATCAAATGAAAATGATTTCTTTTTTTTGTTTCTACAAGGCAAGACATCAATCGATCAAAAATGATTTTTGTCACCTATGTTGGGAAGTACGCATGTATTGTTGCATTCAAGGCTATTACCTTTTCTCATTGTTGGTCAATTAGGACATCTTGCGTAAGAAATGAAATATCATATGGGAAAGATTTTCTTTTTTTGAAACGCTAATCTCTTTCATTAAATTGATTTGAACAAAAAAGAAGAAGAAGAAGAAGTAGTAGTCTCCTGCATTTTAGTATGTAAATTAAGCGTCGATAGGATGTGTCAAATAGGTCATTTGATAGTCTTAATATGTTGCGTAAATGAGTAATAGATATACAGAAGAGATTGTTGCATAAATGGATTAGAATGTGATAAACAGAGGTTCTGAATATACAGAATGGACTAGAAAAATAAATCAATCGGATATTACTGATGACTAGAAGGATATGTTGTTTATTTATTGCCAATGAAAAATATGTTCGAGTTCGTGATTGGAAAACTTTCGCTGTGCTTTTCCGTGTCAAAACTAAGAACATTGTTGTATTTATCTAACATGTCACTAGTGAAGCTTGCACAACAACATATACATGAGAGAGAGAGAGAGACGCAACAAGCAGATGATAAGTATATCTAGAGAAAGTATGAAATTTTACAACAAAAATAGATTAGTAAGAGAAGAGAAACAAGCAGTAAATTGATTGATCAAATGATTAGAAGTCTTTATCCCAACCGGTAAGATCATCCTCGGGTTCTGGACCTTCATCTTCAGCAAAGACATCAAAATTTGATGTATCTGCATCGTGTTCAACCTAAGACAAAACTTCAGTCTGATGTGCATTTTGAAGAAGAGAAGCAACTCACTTTAGGAATATGAGGTGCGACTAATGTTCGACTTTTCAGGCATTCCCAACTGAAGCCTTCAAACCATCTAAAGTAACAGCTTTTTAGAAATAGAACAGTGTGGAAGACAAGACATTACTGATGTTTTTGAATGTCTTTTATTCCATCCTTTTGATATCCAATACGTTCGACTGGATTCTCTCTATAAATACACATGACAAGACTGAAGAATATCCGTACATATAAGTTCTACTACCGGCACAAGCGTTTGATCAATGCCGCCGCCATTTTCGAAACTCGACGGGGAAATTCAATGGCATCGATACCTTTTAAGATAACATTATATGTTTTCATTGGATCTGGACCGGAAAATGGCGGACTAGAGATGCAAACATTTGCCTCAAAGAATCCACTTCTAAACAAAACTTACTTTCCATTGATCAGTTCAAAAATCAATATACCAAGTGACCAACAATCAGCAGCCATATCATGGCCTTTATTCAGAATAATTTCTGGCGCAACATATTCTAAACGGCAGACCGGATATCATTTCGCATGCATTTTCTCTTTGGTCATTCCTACCAGGTGTACCACAGAATGTCCAAGTTTTTTTGCCGAGACCTACTTTTTTGGCAAAGCCGAAATCAACCTAAGAAAAACAAATCGCAGCTCGAATTACATTCTCTTCTCGCGTGCATTACTTACTAATTTACAATAACCTTTGTCATCCAATAGAAGGTTTTCAGGCTATCGGATGTTGAAGATGATCGTTGAGAAATGCAAAAAGAAAAGTGGCTTACTTTGAGATCTCGGTAAACAATGCCTTTGTTGTGTAAATAGGCAAATGCTTCGATTACACAAGCACTATAGAATCGAACTTCAGGTTCTTCGAAGATTCCTTGATTGCGCAACAAAGTCCATAATTCACCACCGAGACAGCATTCCAATAGCATATAGAGATATTTTCGATCTTTGAATGTCTTGTACAGTCTATTTCAAGATAAATACCGAATATTTGTTTCCTTTGAATATCCGTATCAGAATTCATACTTGACAATAAAGTCCGATCGAGTTTCCATCATGATGCTTCGTTCGTTCATTACATGTTCTTGTTGTTTCAAAGCAACAATATGTTGTTTTTTCATTTGCTTAAGACTGTATTTATTCGAATTGCGCATATCTCGAACCTAATCAAAGCAAAGACGATATAGAAAATCATTTAGGAATAGACCAGAATTACCAATTCTACGCGACCGAAACCACCAACGCCCAATGTGGAAATAATTTCAATATCCACCAAACGAAGATTTTTCAAATCTCGTTCATCATCGATACTACGAGAGAAAACAAATGATAGTTAAACGATGTTTCCTTCCTGTGAACATCAATCATTTACTTTCGACGTGGATATTTGAATGATTCTTCTCGTTTCAAACGTGACAATTCATTTGCAATCATCTCACGATAACTTTGACGATCCAGTACTAAACACGTGACGCCATTTGGATCATCGGCTATAACATTGAATGGTCGAGTTTCTTCTCTAAAGAAAATATCCAAACAAGGTCACTGATATCTAAACCACAATACAACTTGTCATGATGTTCGGCTACGATAACTGATCTGTCAAGTAATCCAAATACCTGGATAGCATCAAAGCGAGAAATTCTCTTACCACTGACTAACTCTCGAGCATCTGTATGATGTAATCGGGATTATTCTAAGTTGTCTTTAGTAGACACATGGACCTTCATGACAAGGTAGTCTCAGTCATAAACATCCGAGTCAATGGACGAACATAAATCATTCTATTAACAAACGATTATGATTCAACACTTGCCGGAACCGTCTCGTTCTCTTTCTAGTAGCTTAATGGTAACAACTTACGATTGAAGTGCTGGTTCACCAAACGATTCACCACGTCCAAGATGTCGAATATAAATAGGTGCGTCCCATTTCGATTTTGCTTCCGTAATTTGAGCACGTCCTCAAAGCAAATAAAAATTTTCCACAAGGATTATTTTCGGACAAACATTTACCTTTAGAGACGATGTAGAACGTATCACCTCTTGCACCTTGTCGAACGATGTACTCTCCATCGGCGTAACTTACTTCATCTAATGTGTCAGCAATCTTACTGAGAATATCTTCGCGTAATTTTTCAAAACTCTTAATACTAGAAAAGAAAGAAACACGACAGAGAGATCGTTTTGTCGAACAGTTTCCGGAGAATGCACTTTTTCATTAGTTCGAGATGTTCGGCTTGTTTTTGCATACCAGCCTTCATCATTATAGCTTGAAATGTTTGCCGATTAATTGCCCAGAGTTTACAATTCGATAGAGCTAATGGATAAAGGCAAATAGGAAAACGTCTTAGGAAAATTGTTAAATGTCTCCCATTACCTTTGATGGAAGCAGTTCGAGTACAATTATATAAAATAGCTAATTCACCAAAAACTCGCCCTGGGCCCATTGTTGTTAATACTTTACTAAGTTTACGAACTTCAACCGTACCCTCTAAAGAATATCGATACATGTGTAAATGAAAATTTCGCTGTTTACATTTCTGAATGGATTATTTACCTTCCATTATGTAAAGAAGATTTCCTACATCACCTTCCTTGATAATTAAACTGCCAACCTTATGTTCCAGCGGATACATACAGTCCACAATGGACATAATCTGATCTGTTTCGAGATTTTTCATAAAATCATTATTTAATAATGCATCACGTAAGAAATCTTTCGTTCTAGAGAAATCAAATGATCGAAATGCAGTCGATCCCGATATGTCTTACCGATCAGATTTGCTATAGGATTGAAGGACAGCTCGTAAATCTTTGGATTTGTTCTGTTGAGCGGATGATTCGGCACTGATGGCTGTTCGTTTTATTCGTGGTTTGGGCGATGAAACATCGAGAAACGATGTTCGCGGCGAGGAAATAATATCCGTTCCATTGTTAAGATCTGTTGCGGATATGAATGTTGGATCATGTTTGAAAATCTCTTCTTCAAGTTTGAGAATGTAAGCGTCTTTTTCTTTGATAATTAACTCTTTCATTGATATGACATCATCTTTTTTTCGTAGTTGATGGTCGAAATCGATCCGAAGTTTACTTAGAAGTTTCTCGGTATCGTCTAGTTTTTTCGCGCTTTCACGTAACGCTAGTCGAAGATCGTGAACGGATTGACTCATCGTGTTTTATTGTTCGTCAACATATGGAAATGATCAATTAGGTAGACGACATCAGGTTTAAAGTTGCAATAGCGTTTGATTTGCACTGATGAGATCGTAAAATTGTCGTAATGGTGGAAATATTATTGCTAGTGTTGTTGTTATCGTTGTCGCGTCTTTTCATATCAACAGATTGACTTACGTCATCAAACGAACGAATCAAGGAAAAGAACGAGAGAGAGGGAGAGAGAGGAAAAAACGTTGTCCTACACTAAACCTTTGCTAGATCTTCTAAGGCGCGGCATCGAACCATCATCATCAACATAGATTAACTAATTTTTTTCTTTCTACATATTTCTTTGAGATGTGTTTTCTTCTTTGTCTATTTCTATTTGACATTCCTATCTGTATGCATATCGACGAGAATATCAGATGAATGAATAATTCTCGAGTTTTCTCTCATAACTGTTCGTACCCTGTTTGTCGGAAGTACTCGTTTCTCTTTCTGCATTTCTGTCGATGGATAACTAGAAAAATAACATGAAGAAAACCATGTCGAATACATTTCCACACTTCCATTACGATTGCTTCGAATACTGGTGCCGGGAAAGAGAAGAAGAAGAAGAAGAAGGAGACGAAGGGAAAACGAACTCCGAGACCATCTATTTATATCACGAGTTGTCCTTTCAAATATCAATCGTCTATATTACTTAGTGGATAAGGGAATGTGAAACCTCTTTTCCAGAAGAAAGATTAAGATGTGGATCGTTTTTCTTCTATTAATTTAATTTAGATGTTGTCAACGATAGTGTCAATTGCGATCACAACATTGACTTCTCTTTCGACTTTTTATTTATTGTATCTCACCGGGTGGTGCGATTCGCTTTTCCTTTCTAATCGAGTCGGACTTCGTCGAAGTGTTGTCTTTCGATTGCTGTCAACTTAAAAAAAATACAGAAGACAATAGTCGAATGTCAATTCGCGTTGTTATCTTAAGATGCAAATAACCGTCAGTTGATTTTCTATTTTTGTTGTCGTTTGTATCTGCATAGAGATGACAAATAGATATCTTATACTCGTTTTCAAAGGCTGCAAAATTAGATTTACATCATGCATTGCCAGTCTTTAGAGGATGATTGATAATCTTATGAAAGATGGTAACATCCGAAATATATTGTCTCTTTTTGTTTTGTCAATCAAGATACATCTCACTGAATGCGGTGGATCAAATCTGATAAACAAGCGAGATTCTATCGATGCTACGCTTTTCGAAAGAAGTTCAGATGGACCTATGTGAAACAATTTGATATAGAATTTTATATATAGATATACCTAATCTTTCGAATGATTGATCGGAACTGTATGACAGCGTTATCAATCATTGAGTTTCTTCATTTCAAGACCATACACAGGCAGCAAAAACAACTGGAATGTGTCATATGATTGATTAAGTACTTATCGGCGTTTTGTTTTTTGCATAAATTTAGGTACACAGGAAATTCGTCATAGAATCCATTTCATTTTCTTGTGTGACACGATTTACTACTTGAGTCGATTGTTTTAAGTAGCATACAATGATGTCATTTGAATGATGGATTACTTTCTGGAGAACTGATTGTACACATAAGTATATGTTTCTATCAAGTCACGCCCTTAAAGTCCTATTTCAATCAATTCAGCAATGCTTTTAACGGCCGAGAGTTAAAATACGCGCTGATCATAAATAGATTGTAAAATGTACAACCATTTGAAGTAATATACTATAATTCTTTTATGAATTATGTTAAACACGCACACAAATGATGTGAAATTAAGTTACAAGTACTTGATCATCGAGAGTAGTAGAATATTTGCAAGAATTCTCATCCATGCAGCTAACGAACAGTCCATTTAAACATGAATAGTAATGATTAAGTGAAGATTTCCTTACTTTCGCCATTTAATACCAACGAAGAAAGAAAAAAAAACTGTAGAGATACCCGAACGAATTGAATTAGCGAATTCCAATAGACAAAACGTCGTGGTCCTATGAATCATCAATTCACAATCAATGCGGCAATGATGAACTGTTCGATACGCGAAATCATTTGCTTGAAATCAACGTTCATGTCCTCGTCAGTCTACTTCGTTGTAGATCGAAGTTATCTCAGGAGAAAAGAGGATCAGGTGTCAATGTTAAGTCTTATTCAATTTTTCTAATCCGCGGAAAAAATACGACAAGTACATATTTAATCGTCTTATTCTACCATCGAAAGACTATCGGATGGTTTTCTTTTGCTCTAATTACATGCATTTCTATCATTTGTTTCCAATACACGATTCCATTGGGAAATCTATGAATAATTTTACATAATATTTCTATTGTGAACAATCACAAGTCACATATGAATTATCAGTTGCATCATAAAGAAGAAAAAGGAGTCTGTTTGGATGAAGAAAATGTGTCTCTAATTGATTAATAAGCTACTTGATTCATTTGATCGATCACAAGATGAGTCCAAAGTCATCAGACAATATTAGTAAAATGAAACAAAGTGAAGTAGGTCGCTATGGACTGAAGGATGAATAATCCTCATGACGTCACACGCAAAGAATTGTTTTTCTCTTTTATTCTAATGAAAATTGTTCTATTTGTCAATTGCAATTGATTAGGGCGATTGTTTTTCTTTGTCTACACATAGCGCCTAATTTCTTCAAAATCAACAAACAGCTGATTTACCAACATGAGCACGTTTGACATTGGTTTTCACCGTCGACCATTCAGATTCGATGAGCGCTGTTGTCGATAGAATCGTTCTCTTTAGCTGTATACATATTAGATTTGACATTCAGCGGAAGAAGTTGATTATGGAAAGAATGTTTATAATAGTTATTCATGGGTTATTATTCTTATTTATTTTTTCTTCGTGATTCAATTTCGTTTCTCGCGAACGGGTGTATGCTCATTTGCAATTGGGTTTATTTATTTTCTAACAAGCCATGCTAGGTTACTGTTGTTGCACAAGTAAAAAAATAAACAAAGAACTCATCATTTCAAGAAGAGAACATTTTCAAGGTTAAAGCCTTTTTTTAAGGATTTTATACGAGATTAGTCCATTAGTTTTATATCTGTCTGTTTCTGTAAGGTCTAAGTACAATTGTATCACTCGTTTTGTTTCGGCTTTTTTTTGTAGGAAGAAAAACATGTTGATTGAACGTTTCAAATTTCGGAGTAGTCCGTCACTACTCAGACAGAAGAGCGAAACGATGAACAATATACACGCACGTATATTGAGAGAATAGAGTGAATAAGAAGAAAAAATACAACATTCACGAGATTCATCGTTTACTCTCGTCTGACCAATACTATTGAGTATACCGAGCTAATCGGCCGAACTATTTGTCGCTCGTTCGTCATCATCTTCATTCCCGTTGTCGTCGTCGTCTTCTTCTCTTTTTTCTTTATAATTTAATAATGAGTTGTCCTTGTTACTCAGTCTTATGTTGATAGATTATGGCACATGGTTTTCTCTGCCATCATCAATATTACTTAGTAAGGAAGAGGAGAAACAAAAAATAATGAGTTTTTTTTATCTTTTTTTTCTTCTTCTTTGCCAATAGAATATATCGAGATCGTTTTATGTGCACGAGTCTTCCCTTCTTCCGGATAATGAAGAAAAGCAAACGATGTCAACATTCTATGCATAGATAAATGTTTAACGGATATTTGAGTTGTGCTTTGTCAATAGACAATATCAATCAGTTCGCAACGTACTAAAAGCCTTTTTACATTTATTTAATAATGAACCTTGTAAGATGAGCTTGATCAAGAGTGATGGATGAAAGATACAGATTTGTATATCATCGAAAGATAATTACGTAAATTGAGTATTTATCGTTTTAGATTGGACAAGAATGCTGATGGCCTTTGTTTTTCTTTATTTGTAGATCTTTCTGTATATATGTTGTTCTCTATAAATATTCATTTCAGTCATTATGCACGGTGACATTGAACATGTCCGAAGCAGATCTTCTTCAACCAGGAAACATAGTCCGCGAGCGATGGAAAGTCGTAAGTGTCGACGCTTGTTCATTTCTTTGTTTTCATTGGCAATCTTTTTCAGATTAATAAAATTGGCGGCGGTGGGTTTGGCCAAATCTATGAGGCACTTGATCTAACCAGCAAAGAGAATGTAGCACTGAAACTCGAATCGGCTCGGCAGCCGAAACAAGTTCTAAAAATGGAAGTAACAGTTCTCCGGCGTTTGCAAGGAAAAGATCACGTATGCAAATTTCTCGGTGGTGGGACCAATGAATTATATAATTACGTCGTTATGACATTGCAAGGCAAAAATTTAGCTGAATTACGTCGTAGTCAAACACGACAATGTTTTAATTTATCAACATCATTACGTATTAGTTTACAAATTCTTCAAGCAATTGAATCTATACATGCAATTGGCTTTCTTCATCGCGATGTTAAACCATCGAATTTCTCCATGGGACGTTTGCCGACGACATGTCGAAAAGTCTATATGCTAGATTTCGGTCTAGCACGAAAGTACACGAATGCAGAAGGAGGTGTACGTGCAGCGCGACCACAAGCAGGTTTTCGTGGAACTGTACGATATGCTTCTGTGAATGCGCATAAAAACAAGGTTAGAGCAAATGAATAGAATGGACGTTGTGATTAGGATTGCATTCTTCCTCGTTCTCTTCTTTCAGGAAATGGGTCGACATGATGATCTCTGGAGTTTATTTTATATGCTGATTGAATTTATTACAGGGCAATTACCATGGAGAAGAATAAAAGATAAAGAACAAGTTGGACAAATGAAAGATAAATATGATCACACGCAGTTTCTGAAGAGTCTTCCATCCGAATTCAAAGTAGATTAATTAAGAAAAAAGCAAACGAGTCAATTATTGCTTCTTTTCTAGCAATTCCTTGAACATATCCAAACTTTACGTTATGAAGACAAGCCTGATTATGAACTTCTTCAAAATTTATTCCGTACATCTATTGCTCGTCGCGGTTATAAAGAACAAGATCTTTACGACTGGGAGAAAGAAACGAACGGCATCGAGGATGAACCAACTTCCATTCCAGTTCCTACTCCACAGCAACAAGTCCTGTCGAATATTAACAATAAAGTTTCAGCGTATGTCAAACGAAGGAGAAGAATATGACATCCTATTCAGATCTCTTCTTCATGCTGTTTTTTTTTCTCTCTAGAGAAATGACTAAAGCAATGATGACTCCTCAACCTGCTTCAACAATCAATACACGTCAACAAGCGACTGAAGCCGATACATTAGATGAACGTTGGAAGCCAACAAAACAACCAAGTGGCCTATCCGATCATTCTCCACGTCGAACTATTCCACGAAGTCTTGATCGAAACACGCGACGATCAGCAGCTGTTCTACAGTCGACTAATTCCACAGAAAAAGATACTTCTCTTTCGAAGAAATTGCAACCACAACCACAGCATCCCCACGCTCCTCTTAGTACAACTCAGATATCTGAACTATCTCAGCGTTTACGACGTTCGAATCCATCGAAATCGAATGCTGGTGAACCGTTAACTCCTACGAGTAAACTAATTGGAAAAGAAGATTCGCCTGCCAGCGCATCCCATTCTGATTCTGGTAAACTGAAGAATGGTGCACAAAATCGATCGTACCAATTGAAAGCATCTGAGACACCTAATCTAGATGAACCTCCATCGCCTGCAGCAGTCATGTACACATCCGCCGGTGGTTTCGAACATGGCAAACCACCTAAAACGCCACGTTCGACACGAACAGCAACGAGCCGTAGCGATGCGGTACCACCATCGCGGCAAACAACAATAGCAGCTCGAGGAGGTGATAGTGAAGCGATATCAGTACCTGCTGCAACCTTTGCGATGAAAGCCGGACCACAAACAGTTATGTCTCAATGGATGGTGTCACTCGATGACTATGTCGATGATGAAGGAAGTGATAATCAACATAGTGCTAAATGGGAAGATGCGCAAGAGAAACTTCAAAGGTTAGTAAAGAAAATATTTTCTTTGTAAATGTAGATTTCGACATATTCTTTTTCTTCTCTTCCAGCACAACACACGAGCCCTCACAATATCATCCAGCAGCGTCATCATTATCTTCACCTCCTGTGAATAACAATCCACTTACTCCGTCCAATATGAACAGTCAACAAACAAAAGCAATTCCTAATCTTCAATCACCTAGTGTTTATGCAACTGTTTTGAATAGTAATGTAAATGCTGGCCGTCAACAACAACAACCATCGCTGCCACCACAGTATCACCGACCGTTATTAAGGAATGTTGATGAAAACCAAGGCACATTGAACAGTTACGATGGCAAAGAAAATAAACGTAAATTAACCCGAGCCGATATCGACTGTATAGATAGATATGACTGTTTTCTTTTCTTTTGTTCTAGCAAAAGAATCAGTTACTCAATCGAATGAACAACCCTCACCTGAATCACTTCCATTTGAAAACTATCGTACAACTGATGGTCCGCCAAATAGTTCACATCCGAGAAATAACAATTCCGCCGGTGCTAAACGATTGTCAGATGATGAAGGTGGCCATGATGGTGACGTTGACGAAGAAGAAGAAGACGAGGAAATTCATGAACCATCCAAACGCAAACCAGCTGAACAAATCTTTTCTTCGCAGACTCGGCCAACAAATATCATGGGTGATTCTTTTTCTAGGAATTTTTCTTCATCTGCATTCATTGATCATTCGGCGCGCTCAAGCCCGAATCATCCAACAGGATTGATGATGATGAAAGGAAATGGACATACGAATGAAAATTTAGGAGATAAACAAACGCAAGTGAATCGAAACGGCATATCAGCTTACGAGCATCGTACGATTGTTGTTTCATCGACAGTCCGGCCGAATTCATCGGGTTCGTCGAGCTCATCGCCACCGCTACCTGCGGAGAAGCATCAGTCAATAAAAACCAGAAGATATAATTTTGTTCCCCCGCCATTCAATGGTTCACGTTTAATCGCTAAATCTACCGAACAGCTCAATCGCTCATCAACGAACGATAGTTTCGCCAACTACTCCACACCGCCAACGACACCACCGACAGTTCCATCTTTTCAATTACCGATCAAATCTAATTCGCCAACATCGATTCTCAAACAGAATTTTCATCAAAAATATACGCCGTCAAGTACGCTAGGACATCATACAAGTAAGATAGCATATGCATTGAACAACCACTTAGTTTGCATGCTATTTATCTACGACTAATATTGCACGTGTAGCTGTGTATGTATACATGAATCTATTTTCATTTCATCATCATCAATTTTGTTTTTAACAAAACCGTAGTTGTTGCATGAAATAATCCCTTCGATTTCCTCTGATTTCATTTGAATAATCTCTTTTCTCTATATATATTTAGATTACACTGGAGACGAATCGATTCTTCCTTCTCGAAACGAGAATGATGATGATGATTTAAAGAATGGACAACAGCGATTTTCCAATGGCAACTATGTATCTTCATCGACATCGCTTCAAACTCAACGCGGCGAAGACTTTCGCAAAAAGCTTTTATTCTATGAACAAAATGCTTCGTTAACGGAGAATAACAATTCCTCGCGTCGATCATCATTTCAACAACAATCATCATTTAATCCGTCCGGTAGTAAATCTTCGAACGGCCACATGAATCGCCTAACAGGAACAAATCTTTCGACATCGGGCACTTCCGATCAAATGCACCGTAGCAAATCTTATAAAGATTTATCAGATCCACCTATCGCTCATCCCGTTTATTATCAACAACAGCCACCACCTTCGTCCTCCTCCTCGTTATATCCTTCAGCATCCTACTATGCGAATCACACTAGTAATCTATTAGGAAATGGCAGTGGACTGACGGACTATCCACGACGGCAACCAGTTACACTAAATACTAATCTAATAGCTGATGATATTTCTAGTTCATCTGCAGGTCATCTCCCCAAGCCACCACCGGGTATACCCAGTCAAAATGCGAGGTAAATGATTTTTACTGGAATATATAAACGATGAATTGATTTTCATTCAGACGCCGTCGATACAAAGTAGATGGTCTTGTTAATCGTCAAAAGGATCGTAATGGTGAAGGTTCATTGGAACGTTCTCCAATAACTTGATAGTTTGAGCTTCAATCTCGTTTCGTTTTTTTGTTCTTTTTTTAATTCTGCGTTTTCTCGAAAAACAAAAGCACACACACTTGTTTTCCTTGAGCATTCAAAGCTATATGTATATATCCATTTCGAACCAGATGGAAATGTCATTTTTTTTCTCTCTAGGATTGAATGTTTTCGTTTTTTTTTTGTGTTTCAAATCGTTTCTGCTTACTACTAAATCGAATTTCGTTTTTTCCTTCTCTTGTTTTTCCTTGTGCGTTAGATAAGTTGAAACGAATTCTAATACTCGTGTGAAGAGAAAAGAAAAAATGAATATTAATTCAAAATATAATTTCTTTTTAGATGATTCCATCCATCATCTTATGTTATCTGCAATTGATCGGATTGGCTTATGTTGTCATCGTTTTAATGGGTGCACCATTCTTAACAGATATCGTACGCACACTGGTGTTGAGTATTTACATTGTGTTGATTGGCTTCACACCGATAGTTGTTCGTTATCAGGGAAAAGTAAACGACATTTATCAGTTGTTAATGGCGAAATCAAAGAACGATTTTCTCATGCGAAATTTGGCGTGGGGAACGATGTTCGGTGCTTGGCTGGGTGCAATACCAATTCCGTTGGATTGGGATCGCTGGTGGCAACGATGGCCGATTACATGTCTTGTTTCATCAACCATGGGAGCAGGACTCTCTGTGATTCTTTCCTATGTGTGGTTAAGGAGGCGTAAAACATCTAAACACACGGAAGATGTTGAATAACTGAAGAGTTTTTTTGTCTTTTGTATAAATAGTAACTGGAGTGGACGTGCTAAAAGCATTTTTTTTCTTTGCTAACAATAAAATCGTTTTGATAGTAAGAAAAACCGTGACAAACCAAGACCAATGACTACGAAGCAAATTGTTTTATGTAATTATATTTCGTGTAGGTGCTTATCAGACAAGAATAGTTATTAGCAATTCTCTCGTTTGTCTAATACTTCTAATACATTGAATAAGCAATGGCTATTCATAAATTCTTTCATTGCACGGTGATTGTGAAATTATTTTTAACAGCAAAGAAAAAGTCTTCGCTCTCTCTTCCTTTCTTTTTCTTTTTCTTGAAGTAAACCCGACAAACGGATGTCAAGGTTATGGCAGAACATAAAAATTTACTAAGGTGATCAACAAAGTAAAGAAAAAGAGTCTGTTATTTTTTTTCAGATACATTCGACATGGCTAAATTAACGGCAAGTCAAGAGCAAGAATTACGTGAAGCATTCGATCTCTTTGATTCAGGTAGATAGCAAAGCTGATCGAGTATGAAATGGCTTTCGTTGATATTTTAGACCATTCGGGTAGAATCTCGAGAATGGAATTGAAGAGGGTGCTTCAAGCTTTGAACATCAAAGTGTCTGACAATGAATTACAACAATTGATGGTACAGATGGATAGTGACAACAGTGGAGAGATTGATTACAATGAATTTAAAGAAGTAATCGGCGCTTCATTTTTTCGAAAATATTCCAAGCAAGAACTTCAAGCAGCTTTTAAAAAATTCGATACGGACAATAGCGGTTACATAACATCGCATGAACTTAGCCATATTTTATCACGAATGGGAAGACATATTAGTCAAAATGAAGTTGAAGCTATGGTTAAATCGTTGGATGCAAGTGGCGACGGAAAAATCTCATTTGAAGAGTTCTGTAAACTATTTGATTAACGATTTCATTCGAAGATTGACATATTTGTCTCCTTAAGAGATGTATTTCTTTTTGTCTTTGATATTATCTACTTTACGTATCAATAAAATTAAAAAACAAACTGAGAAATTATGATTCCTTATAAATGACTGAAAAGATGAGGATGACATTTATTGGCATTCCTTTAAGTACGGCGCTTAATTGCAATTAGAATATCGCCGTGAACCGGGTGAAGAGTTTTATACTCGTTTATATTCCGCCTGCCAACAGTGCCATCTATGAAAGATGTAAAAAAAAGCGCTGTTTGAAAGAAAAGCATAGGAAATTAATTCACAGAAATTTTCTTCAAACTGAAAAATGTAGTGTTCGTTTATAAATAGTATTCTGTAGTCGGATCAATGCTGGAGAGAGTATACATTAGTAACCAGTGACGGGATATAACTACTATCTTTCTGTTATCTGTTTGCGCTTCTCCATTCGTATCAAAAACAATTTTCTGTTCTTGGTAAAAAATTAAAGTAAGTTCTTATGTTCTTCAATAATCAGTCTGCTTTCTTGATATTGTTACATGTGATTACAACTCTTCTCATATATCCGGATATCTCAACGATGGGTGAAGTCTGACCTTAGGAAAATTCTAGGTGTAAATAACAATCGGCGTGTACTGTGATTTATAACGATCCTATGAATGACTCAGGAAGTTTGAGTGCGTTTATTTCCCACATCGACCAACCCCATGCTCAGATTTTTATCTTCAGAATCCAATCGAATTTTGTGGAAACGTCGGACCCTATCGGGTTTGTCGACCAGCGTTATGCATATATACAGTGTGAAATGAGTTAACGCAGAAAACCGGTTCATGTTATTGAGAAGTGTCGCGTAGTTAACTTCTTGAAAATATCCTTCACATATGAGTAAAACAGACCACTTCTTATATTCTTGAAACGACTGCAAGTGTTCAGTCAAACATGGAAACAGATATAGCAAATTGATAAGCTGCATCCATACACAATGTACAAAAGTGACGGAAGACCTATTAAGGAATGAGTAGTCTATATCTCTAAAGTTTTTTATGGCACTCATCCTGACTCATTTATAGCTTACTAAACTTCCAATAGTCAGACAAAATAGCATAGCATACCTCAGTAACACTTATGTATTACTGGGTTCTCTATTACAATACTACCTGATATCCAATAGAATATTTTAATGAAGAGTAAAGTTCCAAGAATGTAAATGTTTTCTCTTCATAATTTCTTTTGCAGCTATCCAACATTTTATTCACCGACTTTACTATCTGATTTTATTCCTGTGTCTCTATCGCTGTTACTATACGATGACTGCTCGGTCAATGTCCAGCACAGCGAAAACCAACTGCCGTCAATGCGCTCCAAAGCCAGTGACTGCTATCACTTCGTGCAAGGGATGTTCCGAAGATTTCTGCCGTAAGCATTTTAATGAACATCGTGATCAACTTTCCAACCAACTGCATGCGGTAATTAACCAACACGATAATATTCTTCAAGGTTTGCAACAGCAGGCTGCGTCCGGAACGAATACATCCAGAAGTCAAAGAGCCAATCAACTATTACAACAGGTTGAACAATGGAAGACCAATGCTATCCAACAAGTGATGAGAGTCGCAAAAGACGCTACTGACAACATTGAGCGCTTGTTTAATACAGAGATCCAACTGCAAGAACTTCGAGAACGAACACGAATAATTACAAAAGAGCTTAGACATCAAGAAGAATCAGATAGCTTTGTTGAAACCGATATACAAAGATGGACGAAGCAATTAGAAGAAATAAAAATTGACGCCACACGCCCATTACCTTCTGAGATTCAACCCCCAAGAATGGAATTCCAATCGATACCCTGGGACAGCATAATCAAAATACACTCCGCTCCTCCATGCACTCAAACCACAAATCAAGCACAAGCAACACCAACTATATTCAAACCACCTCATCATCTGCTCCACTATTACAAATGAAAAATTCATTTCATCTACATACTTTTCGAACACAATAGTAGAGCCCAGGAACCTCCAATTCCCACATTTCAACACCATGATCCTATTCAAAACTCATGACATATCAACCAATCAGCCATATTCACCACTCATTTCGCAGAGACACCCATACTCAAATTCACTAAGCCGCAAAATACTTCATAAATTCTTTCAAAAGAGAGACCCAACTATCGCCGTTCACCTACTAACACTGGGCAAACATATACGAACACACTCAGTCGACCGATAGTTCGAAAGCTGCGTCGTACTGCACTGCTCAAAGGATATTCTTCCTCTGCCGACAGACACAAATATAAGAATCCATTCAGGAGCCTGATAGTTCCAATGCTCTCTGATACTCGAATGATCCCTACCACGAAACTTCCTCTGCCAATGAGCACACATAAAGGCATACATTCAGGCGCTTGAAAGTTCGGATACCGTGTGCTACTTACGTAAGTGAAGTTGGCAGCGGATTCGAGTCCTTCCATCAGCGATTCGCCCAGGAGTCCGTTCCAACCGTTCCAACTAGCGTTCCAGATGCAGCTCGGCGAGCTCTATCTATGGGATATCTTGGAATCCTCATAGCTCCAGCTAAAACCTAGCAAAACCCAAAATACCGGTTTTCCAGTAGGAATTGCATGGATTTTCTCAATCCTTCCACCAGCGATTCGNAATGAGTAATAGATATACAGAAGAGATTGTTGCATAAATGGATTAGAATGTGATAAACAGAGGTTCTGAATATACAGAATGGACTAGAAAAATAAATCAATCGGATATTACTGATGACTAGGAAGGATATGTTGTTTATTTATTGTCAATGAAAAATATGTTCGAGTTCGTTATTGGAAAACTTTCGCTGTGCTTTTCCGTGTCAAAACTAAGAACATTATTGTATTTATCTAACACGTCACTAGTGAAGCATGCACAACAACATATACATGAGAGAGAGAGAGAGAGATGCGACAAGCTGATGATAAGTAAATCGAGAGAAAGTATGAAATTTTACAACAAAAATAGATTAGTACGAGAAGAGAAACAAGCAGTAAATTGATTGATCAAAGGATTAGAAGTCTTTATCCCAACCGGTAAGGTCATCCTCAGGTTCTGGACCTTCATCTTCAGCAAAGACATCAAAATTTGACGTATCTGCATCGTGTTCAACCTAAGACAAAACTTCAGTCTGATGTGCGTTTTGAAGAAGAGAAGCAACTCACTTTAGGAATATGAGGTGCAACTAATGTTCGACTTTTCAGGCATTCCCAACTGAAACCTTCAAACCATCTAAAGTAAAAGCTATTTAGAAATAGAACAGTGTGAAAAAGAAGACATTACTGATGTTTTTGAATGTCTTTTATTCCATCCTTTTGATATCCAATACGTTCGACTGGATTCTCTCTATAAATACATATGACAAGACTGGAGAACATCTATACATGTAAGTTCTCCTACCGGCACAAGCGTTTGATCAATGCCGCCGCCATTTTCGAAACTCGACGAGGAAATTCGATGGCATCGATACCTTTTAAGATAACATTATATGTTTTCATCGGATCTGGACCGGAGAATGGCGGGCTAGAGATGCAAACAGTTACCTCAAAGAATCCACTTCTAAACAAAACTTACTTTCCATTGATCAGTTCAAAAATCAATATACCAAGTGACCAACAATCGGCAGCCATGTCATGGCCTTTATTCAGAATAATTTCTGGCGCAACATATTCTAAACGGCAGACGAGATATTCATTTCGAACGTATTTTTTCTTTGTTGATTCCTACCAGGTGTACCACAGAATGTCCACGTTTTCTTGCCTAGGCCTACTTTTTTGGCAAAGCCGAAATCAACCTAAGAAAAACAAATCGTAGCTCGAATTACATTCTCTTCTCGCATGTATTACTTACTAATTTACAATAACCTTTATCATCCAACAGAAGATTTTCAGGCTATCGGATGTTGAAGATGATTGTTGAGAAATGCAAAGGAAAAAGTGTCTTACTTTCAGATCTCGATAAACAATGCCTTTGCTGTGTAAATAGGCAAATGCTTCAATTACACAAGCACTATAGAATCGAACTGCAGGTTCTTCGAAGATTCCTTCATTGCGCAACAAAGTCCATAATTCACCACCGAGACAGCATTCCAATAGCATATAGAGATATTTTCGATCTTTGAATGTCTTGTAGAGTCTGTTTCAAAATAAATATCGAAGATTTGTCTCCTTTGAATATCCGTATCAGAATTCATACTTGACAACAAAGCCCGATCGAGTTTCCATCATGATGCTTCGTTCGTTCATGACATGCTCTTGTTGTTTCAAAGCAACAATATGTTGTTTTTTCATTTGCTTAAGACTGTATTTATTCGAATTGCGTATATCTCGAACCTAATCGAAGCAAAGACGATATAGAAAATAATTTAGGAGTAGACCAGAATTACCAGTTCTACGCGACCGAAACCACCAACACCCAATGTGGAAATAATTTCAATATCCACCAAACGAAGATTTTTCAAATCTCGTTCATCATCGATACTACGAGAGAAAACAAGCGATAGTTAAACAATCCTTCTTTCCTGCGAACATCAATAATATACTTTCGACGTGGATATTTGAATGATTCTTCTCGTTTCAATCGTGACAATTCATTTGCAATCATCTCACGATAACTTTGACGATCCAGTACTAAACACGTAACGCCATTTGAATCATCGGCTATGACGTTGAATGGTCGAGTTTCTTCTCTAAAGAAAATATCAAAACAAGGTCACAGATATCTAAACGACAAGACAACTTGTCATGATGTTCTTCTACGATAACTGATCTGTCAAGAAATTCAAATACCTGGATAGCATCAAAGCAAGAAATTCTCTTCTTATTACTGACTAACTCTCGAGCATCTGCATGATGTAATCGGGGTTATTCTAAGCTGTCTTTGGTAGACATATGGACCTTCATGACAAGGTAGTCTCAGTCTTAAACATCGAAGTCAATGGACGAACATAAATCATTCTATTAACAAACGATTACGATTTAACGCTTGCCGGAAACGCCTCGTTCTCTTTATGGTAACTTAATGGTAACAACTTACGATTGAAGTGCTGGTTCACCAAACGATTCACCGCGTTCAAGATGTCGAATATAAACAGGTGCGTCCCATTTCGATTTTGCTTCCGTAATTTGAGCACGTCCTTACGGCAAATAAAACTTTTTCACAAGAATTATTTTCAGACAAACGTTTACCTTTCGAGACGATGTAGAACGTATCACCTTTTGCACCTTGTCGAACGATGTACTCTCCATCGGCGTAACTTACTTCATCTAATGTGTCAGCAATCTTACTGAGAATATCTTCGCGTAATTTTTCAAAACTCTTAATACTAGAAGAGAAGAAAACATGACAGAGAGATCGTTTTGTCGAATAGTTTTCCGGAGAATGTACTTTTTCATTAGTTCGAGATGTTCGGCTTGTTTTTGCATACCAGCCTTCATCATTATAGCTTGAAATGTTTGCCGATTAATTGCCCAGAGTTTACAATTCGATAGAGCTAATGAATGAGGTCAAATAGGCAAACGTCTTAGGAAAGTTGTTAAATGTCTCCCATATTACCTTTAATGGAAGCAGTTCGAGTACAATTATATAAAATAGCTAATTCACCAAAAACTCGCCCTGGACCCATCGTTGTCAATACTTTACTAAGTTTACTAACTTCAACCGTACCCTCTAAAGAATATCGACATATGTATAAATGAAGATTTCGTTGTTTACATTTCTGAATGGATTATTTTACCTTCCATTATGTAAAGAAGATTTCCTACATCACCTTCCTTGATAATTAAACTACCAACCTTATGTTCCAGCGGATACATACAGTCCACAATGGACATGATCTGATCTGTTTCGAGATTTTTCATAAAGTCATTATTTAATAATGCATCACGTAAGAAATCTTTCGTTCTAGAGAAATCAAATGATCGAAATGCAATCGATCTTGATATGTCTTACCGATCAGATTTGCTATAGGATTGAAGAACAGCTCGTAAATCTTTGGCTTTGTTCTGTTGAGTGGATGATTCGGCACTGATGGCTGTTCGTTTTGTTCGTGGCTTGGGCGATGAAACATCGAGAAACGATGTTCGCGGCGAGGAAATAATATCCGTTCCATTGTTAAGATCTGTTGCGGATATGAATGTTGGGTCATGTTTGAAAATCTCTTCTTCAAGTTTGAGAATGTAAGCGTCTTTTTCTTTGATAATTAACTCTTTCATTGATATGACATCATCTTTTTTTCGTAGTTGATGGTCGAAATCGATCCGAAGTTTACTTAGAAGTTTCTCGGTATCGTCTAGTTTTTTCGCGCTTTCACGTAACGCTAGTCGAAGATCGTGAACGGATTGACTCATCGTGTTTTATTGTTCGTCAACATATGGAAATGATCAATTAGGTAGACGACATCAGGTTTAAAGTTGCAATAGCGTTTGATTTGCACTGATGAGATCGTAAAATTGTCGTAATGGTGGAAATATTATTGCTAGTGTTGTTGTTATCGTTGTCGCGTCTTTTCATATCAACAGATTGACTTACGTCATCAAACGAACGAATCGAGGAAAAGAACAAGAGAGAGAGAGAGGGAAAGAGAGGAAAAAACGTTGTCCTACACTAAATCTTTGCTAGATCTTCTAAGGCGCGGCATCGAACCATCATCATCAACATAGATTAACTAATTTTTTTTCTTTCTACATATTTCTTTGAGATGTGTTTTCTTCTTTGTCTATTTCTATTTGACATTCCTATCTCTATGCATATCGACGAGAATATCAGATGAATGAATAATTCTCGAGTTTTCTCTCATAACTGTTGGTATCCTGTTTGTCGGAAGTACTCGTTTCTCTTTCTGCATTTCTGTCGATGGATAACTAGGAAAATAACATGAAGAAAACCATGTCGAATACACTTCCATTACGATGGCTTCGAATACTGGTGCCGGGAAAGAGGAGAAGGAGAAGAAGAAGAAGGAAAAACGAACTCCGAGACCATCTATTTATATCACGAGTTGTCCTTTCAAATATCAATCGTCTATATTACTTAGTCGATAAGGGAATGTGAAACCTCTTTTCCCGAAGAAATATTAAGATGTGGATCGTTTTTCTCCTATTAATTTAATTTAGATGTTGTCAACGATAGTGTCAATTGCGATCACAACATTGACTTCTTTTTCGGCTTTTTATTTATTGTATCTCACCGGGTGGTGCGATTCGCTCTTCCTTTCTAGTCGAGTCGGACTTTGTCGAAATGTTGTCTTTCGATTCCTGTCAAGTTAAAAAAAATACAGAAGACAATAGTCGAATGTCAATTCGAGTTGTTATCTTAAGATGCAAATAACCGTCAGTTGATTTTCTATTTTTGTTGTCGTTTGTGTCTGCATCGAGATGACAAATAGATATCTTATACCCGTTTTCAAAGACTGCAAAATTAGATTTACATCATGCATTACTAGTCTTTAGAGAATGATTGATAATCTTATGAAAGATGGTAACATCCGAAATATATTGTCTCCTTTTGTTTTGTCAATCAAGATACATCTCACTGAATGCGGTGGATCAAATCTGATAAGCAAGCGAGATTCTATCGATGCTACGCTTTCGAAAGAAGTTCAGATGGACCTATGTGAAACAATTCGATATAGAATTTTATAGATAGATATACCTAATCTTTCGAATGATTGATCGGAACTGTATGACAGCGTTATCAATCATTGAGTTTCTTCATTTCAAAACCATACACAGGCAGCAAAAACAACTGGAATGTGTCATATGATTGATTAAGTACTTATCCGAGTTTTATTTTTTGCATAGATTTAGGTACACAGGAAATTCGTCATAAAATCCATTTCATTTTCTTGTGTGACACTATTTACTACTTGAGTCGATTATTTTAAGTAGCATACAATGATGCCATTTAAATGATGGATTGCTTTCTGGAGAACTGATTGTACACAAAAACATATGTTTCTATCAAGTCACGCCCTTAAAATTCTATTTCAATCAATCCAGCAATCTTTTTAACGGTCGAGAATTAAAATACGTGCTGATCATAAATAGATTGTAAAACGTACAACCATTTGAAGTAGCATACTATTACTCTTTTGTGAATTATATTGATACTTTGGATATTTTTGTAATTCAGTGGTTGACGTCATTTAAACTTCGTTATGGTAAACACACACAAATGATGTAAAATCAAGTTACAAGTACTTGATCATCGAGAGTAGTAGAATATTTGCAAGAATTCTCATCCACGCAGCCAACGAACAGTCTATTTAAACATGAATAGTAATGATTAAGTGAAGATTTCCTTACTTTCGCCATTTAATACCAATGAAGAAAGAAAAGAAAACTGTAGTGATACCCGAACGAATTGAATTAGCGAATTTCAATAGACAAAACGTCATGGTCCTATGAATCATCAATTTACAATCAATGCGGCAAGGGTGAACTTTGCGATACGCAAAATCATTTGCTTGAAATCAACGTTCATGCCCTCATCAGCCTACTTCGTTTTAGTTCGAAGTTATCTCTGGAGAAAAGAGGATCAGATAGCAATGCTAAGTCTTATTCAATTTTTCTAATCCACGGAAAAAATACGACAAGTATATGTTTAATCGTCTTATTTTACCATCGAAAGACTATCGGATGGTTTTCTTTTGCTCTAATCACATGCATTTCTATCATTTGTTTCCAATACACGATTCCATTGGGAAATCTATGAATAATTTTACATAATATTTCTATTGTGAACAATCACAAGTCACATATGAATTATCAGTTGCATCATAAAGAAGAAAAAGGAGTCTGTTTGGATGAAGAAAATGTGTCTCTAATTGATTAATAAGCTACTTGATTCATTTGATCGATCACAAGATGAATCCATAGTCATCAGACAAAACTAGGAAAGATGAAACCAAGTGAAGTAGGTCGCTATGAACTCAAGGGTGAATAATCCCGATGACGTCACACGCAAAGAATTGTTTTTCTCTTTTACTCTAATGAAAATTGTTCTATTTGTCAATTGCAATTGATTAGGGCGATTGTTTTTCTTTGCCTACACATAGCGCCTAATTTCTTGAAAATCAACAAACAGCTGATTTATACCAACATGAGCACGTTCGACATTGGTTTTCACCGTCGACCATTCAGATTCGATGAGCGCTGTTGTCGATTGAATCGTTCTCTTTAGCTGTATACATATTAGATTTGACATTCAGCGGAAGAAGTTGATTATGGAAAGAATGTTTATAATAGTTATTCATGGGTTATTATTCTTATTTATTTTTTCTTCATGATTCAATTTCGTTTTTCGTAAACGGGTGTATGCTCATTTGCCAATTGGGTTTATTTATTTCCTAACAAGCCATGCTAGGTTACTGTTGTTTCACAAGTAAAAAAATAAACAAAGAACTCATCATTTCAAGAAGAGAACATTTTCAAGGTTAAAATCTTTTTTTAAGGATTTTAGACGAGATTAGTTGATTAGGTTCATGTCTGTCTATTTCTAGAAGGTTTAAATACAAATTGTATCACTCGTTTTGATCGGCTTTTTTTTGTAGGAAGAAAAACACTTTGATTGAACGTTTCAAATTTCGGGGTAGTCCGTCACTACTCAGACAGAACAACGAAACGATGAACAATATACACGCACGTATATTGAGTGAATAGAGTGAATAAGAAGAAAAAATACAACATTCACGAGATTCATCGTTTACTTTCGTCTGACCAATACTATTGAGTATACCGAGCTAATCGGCCGAACTATTTGTCGCTCGTTCGCCATCATCTTCGTTCTCGTTGTCGTCGTCGTCGTCTTCTCCTTTTTCTTTATAATTTAATAATGAGTTGTCCTTGTTACTCAGTCTTATGTTGATAGATTATGGCACATGGTTCTCTTTGCCATCATCAATATTACTTAGTAAGGAAGAGGAGAAACAAAAAATAATGAGTTTTTTTTTATCTTTTTTTTTCTTATTTGTTTTCTTCTTCTTTGCCAATAGAATATATCGAGATCGTTTTATGTGCACGAGTCTTGCTTTCTTTCGGATAATGAAGAAAAGCAAACAATGTCAACATTCTATGCATAGATAAATGTTTAACGGACATTTGAGTTGTGCTTTGTCAATAGACAATATCAATCAGTTCGCGATGTACTAAAAGCCTTTTTACATTTATTTAATAATGAACCTTGTAAGATGAGCTTCATCAAGAGTGATAGATGAAAGATAATTACGTAAATTGACCATTTATTGTTTTAGATCGGACAAGAATGCTGATGATCTTTGTTTTTCTTTATTTGTAGATCTTTCTGTATATATGTTGTTCTCTATAAATATTCATTTCAGTCATTATGCACGGTGACATTGAACATGTCCGAAGCAGATCTTCTTCAACCAGGAAACATAGTCCGCGAACGATGGAAAGTCGTAAGTGTTGACGCTTGCTTATTTCTTTGTTTTCATTGGCAATATTTTTCAGATTAATAAAATTGGCGGCGGTGGGTTTGGTCAAATCTATGAGGCACTTGATCTAACTAGCAAAGAGAATGTAGCACTGAAACTCGAATCGGCCCGGCAGCCGAAGCAAGTTCTAAAAATGGAAGTAACAGTTCTCCGGCGTTTACAAGGAAAAGATCACGTATGCAAATTTCTCGGTGGTGGGACCAATGAATTATATAATTACGTCGTTATGACATTGCAAGGCAAAAATTTAGCTGAATTGCGTCGTAGTCAAACACGACAATGTTTTAATTTATCAACATCATTACGTATTAGTTTGCAAATTCTTCAAGCAATTGAGTCTATACATGCAATTGGTTTTCTTCATCGCGATGTTAAACCATCGAATTTCTCCATGGGACGTTTGCCGACGACATGTCGAAAAGTCTATATGTTAGATTTCGGTCTAGCACGAAAGTACACGAATGCGGAAGGAGGTGTACGTGCAGCGCGACCACAAGCAGGTTTTCGTGGAACTGTACGATATGCTTCTGTGAATGCACATAAAAACAAGGTTAGAGCAAATGAATACAATTGACGTTGTGATTAGGATTGCATTCTTCCTCGTTCTCTTCTTTCAGGAAATGGGTCGACATGATGATCTCTGGAGTTTATTTTATATGCTGATTGAATTTATTACAGGACAATTACCATGGAGAAGAATAAAAGATAAAGAACAAGTTGGGCAAATGAAAGATAAATATGATCACACGCAGTTTCTGAAGAGTCTTCCATCCGAATTCAAAGTAGATTAATTACGAAAAAGCAAACGAGTTAATTATCACTTCTTTTCTAGCAATTCCTTGAACATATCCAAACTTTACGCTATGAAGACAAGCCTGATTATGAGCTTCTTCAAAATTTATTCCGTACATCTATTGCTCGTCGCGGTTATAAAGAACAAGATCTTTACGATTGGGAAAAAGAAACGAACGGTATCGAGGATGAACCAACTTCCATTCCAGTTCCTACTCCACAGCAACAAGTCCTATCGAATATTAACAATAAAGTTTCAGCGTATGTCAAACGAAGGAGAAGAACATGACATTCTATTCAAATCTCTTCTTCATGCTGTTTTCTTTTCTCTAGAGAAATGACTAAAGCAGTGATGACTCCTCAACCTGCTTCAACAATTAATACACGTCAACAAGCGACGGAGGCCGATACTTTAGATGAACGTTGGAAGCCAACAAAACAACCAAGTGCCCTATCCGATCATTCTCCACGTCGAACTATTCCACGAAGTCTTGATCGAAACACGCGACGATCAGCAGCTGTTCTACAGTCAACTAATTCCACAGAAAAAGATACTTCTCTTTCGAAAAAATTGCAACCACAACCACAGCATCCCCATGCTCCTCTTAGTACTACTCAGATATCTGAACTATCTCAACGTTTACGACGTTCGAATCCATCGAAGTCGAATGCTGGTGAACCGTTAACTCCTACGAGTAAACTAATTGGGAAAGAAGATTCGCCTGCCAGCGCATCCCATTCTGATTCTGGTAAACTGAAGAATGGTGCACAGAATCGATCGTACCAATTGAAAGCGTCTGAGACACCTAATCTAGATGAACCTCCATCGCCTGCAGCAGTTATGTATACATCCACCGGTGGTTTCGAACATGGCAAACCACCTAAAACGCCACGTTCGACACGAACAGCAACGAGCCGTAGCGACGCGGTACCACCACCGCGGCAAACAACAATAGCACCTCGGGGAGGTGATAGTGAAGCGATATCAATACCCGCGGCAACCTTTGCGATGAAAGTCGGACCACAAACGGTTATGTCTCAATGGATGGTGTCACTCGATGACTATGTCGATGATGAAGGAAGTGATAATCAACATAGTGCTAAATGGGAAGATGCACAAGAGAAACTTCAAAGGTTAGTAAAGAAAATATTTTCTTTGTAAATGTAGATTTCGACATATTCTTTTTCTTCTCTTCCAGCACAACACACGAACCCTCACAATATCATCCAGCAGCGTCATCATTATCTTCACCTCCTGTGAATAACAATCCACTTACTCCGTCCAATATGAACAGTCAACAAACAAAAGCAATTCCTAATCTTCAATCACCTAGTGTTTATGCAACTGTTTTGAATAGTAATATAAATGCTGGCCGTCAACAACAACAACAACAACCATCGCTTTCACCACACTATCACCGACCGTTATTAAGGAATGTTGATGAAAACCAAGGCACATTGAACAGTTACGATGGCAAAGAAAATAAACGTAAATTAACCCGAGACGATATCGATTGTATAGATAGATATGACTGTTTTTCTTTTTTTGTTCCAGCAAAAGAATCAGTTACTCAATCGAATGAACAACCCTTACCTGAATCACTTCCATTTGAAAACTATCGTACAACTGATGGTCCGCCAAATAGTTCACATCCGAGAAATAATAACTCCGCCGGTGCTAAACGATTGTCAGATGATGAAGGTGGCCATGATGGTGACGTTGACGAAGAAGAAGAAGAAGAAGACGAGGAAATTCATGAACCATCCAAGCGCAAACCTGTTGAACAAATCTTTTCTTCGCAGACTCGACCAACAAATATCATGGGTGATTCTTTTTCTAGGAATTTTTCTTCATCTGCATTCATTGATCATTCGGCGCGCTCAAGCCCGAATCATCCCACAGGATTGATGATGATGAAAGGAAATGGACATACGAATGAAAATTTAGGAGATAAACAAACGCAAGTGAATCGAAACGGCACATCAGCTTACGAGCATCGTACGATTGTTGTTTCATCGACAGTCCGACCGAACTCATCGGGTTCGTCGAGCTCATCGCCACCACTACCTGTGGAGAAGCATCAGTCAATAAAAACTAGAAGATATAATTTTGTTCCCCCTCCATTCAATGGTTCACGTTTAATTGCTAAATCTACCGAACAGCTCAACCGTTCATCAACGAACGACAGTTTCGCCAACTATTCTACACCGCCAACGACACCGCCGACAGTTCCATCTTTTCAATTACCGATCAAATCTAATTCGCCAACATCGATTCTCAAACAGAATTTTCATCAAAAATATACGCCGTCAAGTACGCTAGGACATCATACAAGTAAGATAGCATATGCATTGAACAACCACTTAGTTTGCATGCTATTTATCTACGACTAATATTGCACGTGTAGCTGTGTATGTATACATGAATCTATTTTCATTTCATCATCATCAATTTTGTTTTTAACAAAACCGTAGTTGTTGCATGAAATAATCCCTTTGATTTCCTCTGATTTCATTTGAGTAATCTCTTTATATATATATATATATTTAGATTACACTGGTGACGAATCGATTCTTCCCTCTCGAAACGACAATGGTGATGATGATTTAAAGAATGGACAACAGCGATTTTCCAATGGCAATTATGTATCTTCATCGACATCGCTTCAAACTCAACGCGGCGAAGATTTTCGCAAAAAGCTTTTGTTCTATGAACAAAATGCTTCGTTAACGGAGAATAACAATTCCTCGCGTCGATCATCATTTCAACAACAATCATCTTCCAATCCGTCCGGTAGTAAATCTTCGAATGGCCACATGAATCGCCTAACAGGAACAAATCTTTCGGCATCGGGCACTTCTGATCAAATGCACCGTAGTAAATCTTATAAAGATTTATCAGATCCACCTATCGCTCATCCCGTTTATTATCAACAACAGCCACCACCTTCGTCCTCCTCCTCATTATATCCTTCAGCATCTTACTATGCGAATCACACTAGTAATCTATTAGGGAATGGTAGTGGACTGATGGACTATCCACGACGGCAACCAGTTACACTAAATACTAATCTAATAGCTGATGATATTTCTAGTTCATCTGCAGGTCATCTACCCAAGCCACCACCGGGTATACCCAGTCAAAATGCGAGGTAAATGATTTTTACTGGAATATATAAACGATGAGTTGATTTTCATTCAGACGCCGTCGATACAAAGTAGATGGTCTTGCTAATCGTCAAAGGGATCGTCATGGTGAAGATTCATTGGAACGTTCCCCAATAACTTGATAGTTTGAGCTTCAATCTCGTTTCGTTTGTTTGTTCTTTTTTTTAATTCTGCGTTTTCTCGAAAAACAAAAGCACACACACTTGTTTTCCCTGAGCATTCAAAGCTATATGTATATATCCATTTCGAACCAGATGGAAATGTCATTTTTTTTCTCTTTTTCTCTCTAGGATTGGATGTTTTCGTTTTTTTTTGTGTTTCAAATCGTTTCTGCTTACTACTAAATCGAATTTCGTTTTTTCCTCTTCTTGTTTTTCCTTGTGCGTTAGATAAGTTGAAACGAATTCTAATACTCGTGTGAAGAGAAAAGAAAAAATGAATATTAATTCAAAATATAATTTCTTTTTAGATGATTGCATCAATCATCTTATGTTATCTGCAATTGATCGGATTGGCTTATGTTGTCATCGTTTTAATGGGTGCACCATTCTTAACAGATATCGTACGCACACTGGTGTTGAGTACTTACATTGTGTTGATTGGCTTCACACCGATAGTTGTTCGTTATCAGGGAAAAGTAAACGACATTTATCAGTTGTTAATGTCGAAATCAAACAGCAATTTTCTCATGCGAAATTTGGCGTGGGGAACGATGTTCGGTGCTTGGCTGGGTGCAATACCAATTCCGTTGGATTGGGATCGCTGGTGGCAACGATGGCCGATTACATGTCTTGTTTCATCAACCATGGGAGCAGGACTCTCTGTGATTCTATCCTATGTATGGCTAAGGATGCGTAAGACATCTAAACACACGGAAGATGTTGAATAACTGAAGAGGATCTTTTGCCTTTTGTATAAATAGTAACTGGAGTGGATGTGCTAAAAGCATTTTTTTCTTTGCTAACAATAAAATCGTTTTGATAGTAAGAAAAGCCGTGACAAACCAAGGCCAATGACTACGAAGCAAATTGTTTTATGTAATTATATTTCGTCTAGGTGCTTATCAGGCAAGAATAGCTATTAGCAATTATCAACAATGTGTTATGACGTAATCTTATGCATTGATTTTCTCTCGTTTGTCAAATACTTCCAATTCATCGAATAAGCAATGGCAATTCATAAATTCTTGCATTGCACGGTACTTGTGAAATTATTTTTAACAGCAAAGAAAAAAAATCTTCTTTCTCTTCCTTTCTTTTTCTTTTTCTTGAAGTAAACCCAACAAACGGATGTCAAGGTTATGGCAGAACATAAAAACTTACTGAGGTGACGATCAACAAAGTAAAAAAAAAGAGTCGATTATTTTTCAGATACATTCGACATGGCTAAATTAACGGCAAGTCAAGAGCAAGAATTACGCGGAGCATTCGATCTCTTTGATTCAGGTAGATAGCAAAGCTGATCGAGTATTAGATTGCTTTCGTCGATATTTTAGACCATTCGGGTAGAATCTCGAGAATGGAATTGAAGAGGGTGCTTCAAGCTTTGAACATCAAAGTGTCTGACAATGAATTACAACAATTGATGATACAGATGGATAGTGACAACAGTGGAGAGATTGATTACAATGAATTTAAAAAAGTAATAAGCGCTTCATTCTTTCGAAAATATTCCAAGCAAGAACTTCAAGCAGCTTTTAAAAAATTCGATACGGACAATAGCGGGTACATTACAGCGCATGAACTTAGCCATATTTTATCACGAATGGGAAGACATATTAGTCAAAATGAAGTCGAAGCTATGGTTAAATCGTTGGATGCAAGTGGCGACGGAAAAATCTCATTTGAAGAGTTCTGTAAACTGTTTGATTAACGATTTCATTCGAAGATTGACATATTTGTCTCCTTAAGAGATGTATTTCTTTTTGTCTCCAATATTATCTACTTTATGTATCAGTAAAATAAAAAAAACTGAGAAATTATGATTCCTTATAAATGACTGAAAAGATGAGGATTACATTTATTGCTATTCCTATAAATACGGCACTTAATTGCAATTAGAATTTCGCTGTGAACTCTGTGAAGAATTTTATACTCGTTTATATTCCACCTGACAACAGTGCCATCTATGAAAGATGTAAAAAAGCGCTGTTTGAAAAAAAAAGCATAGGAAATTAACTCACACCAATTTTCTTCAAACTGAAAAATATAATATTCATTTAGAAATAGTATTCTGTAGTCGGATGAATGCTGGAGAGAGCATACATTAGTGACGGAACAGACGGAACATCGATGGAATGTTTTTTATTTACTGTTGTTATTTTCGGTTCGTATAAAAACAAGTAACACTCATCCATCGGATTCGTCAACCCTTTTCTGAAAGAATTCTTCTAGTACTGAACATATTCAAACGCTTTGAAAAGCAAATAAGACAGTGCGATTGCTACTAGTCCATCAGGTGAATCATGACACTATGTCGCAGATTAGAGTTAACAGAAGACAAAGACTGTTCTTTTTCCATGAAACGAACCAATTAGCCATTTCTTAGTGAGTAGTTTTCGAGTGCTAGCTGTGTTTTACAGTCGACAATTGATTCTTCTCTACACTTTCAGGAAAATGATACCGTGTCAAATACTCTCATTGAGGAACATTCATCAAATCCCTTTTTAAAATCTTTCCAGCTTGATAAAGTTGTTCCAAACGTGTACTTTAACGTTAATCTGAGGTTCTAACGACTAGTCGTTCGTCGGCCACTCATGGTTAGCTGTTGATATATAATGAATATCTATGATATTTTCATATAAAAAAAAAACACCTTGTTCATAATGAGTCGATCTTTAATAGAAGTTATCAAAATTCGTCAAAACTTTGTGATTTACAGAACATGTTTTATTGTTCCCTTGAGTTTAAGGAGCTAATAATCCGCAGCGCTTATTCTCGAAGCTCGAAGAGACATCAATTACATTCATTCGAAAAATCATTGACGCTAGTTGGGGATTCTTGTAAATCTCATCTTTCGAGTAATTTTCAAAGGAAACTCCTAGCCGTTGCCATGGCTGTCTCTCCTTTATACCTTTCGCTTTTGATTACCTTTCAGAGTGAACAGCTACGTTTCTTTTCATTGTTGTTTCCAAAGTGGTGATCTTCCATTCATTTGATTACCAACGCAAACCAGGTAAAACTTTTTATCTCTGATTATCCGTGAAAAGAGCACCCATTACAGTGCTTCATATGTATAGAATAGTATTTATATAGCTGATGCCTTTGTGACTAATAAGATGGAATTTCAATAATGGGCTTTACCTCTTTGCGATGTTTATTCGCGAAAATCCTATCGAAAGGCTTGACGTATCCCAGCACATAGCGCGATCATCATATTGAGCTCATACTACCTGTTCTGATTTTTAGAATTACAACTATCGTAATGTAAGATACACTAAATCTTTTTATGTAAGCTCCTAAGCTAACACCTTCGCGAACATCGTATCCAGGAATAGCGTTCAACCCACTACCTTCTGGAAAAATTTTCTAAAAGACATAAAAATATCACTTTTGAAAAAAGAAAGGAAGAAGTCTAAGCTTAGTGAATAAGAAAAAACTAACCTGAGATTTGAATTTTTTCACATCGATCACCTTTCGATCAGCCCTTACTTTATATGTATATATATATTAATGACCCATGCCTAGTGGACAGGTAGTTATAATCATTAATTAATAATTAGTTAAAACTTACATCAGATTCGAGTTCTTTGACCTCGATTACCCCACTAGCAGTGAGTTCCTGATGACTATCGACAAATTTCATTGATATCAGAAATGCTGATTTCTGATTGAATAGGACACATAAACTTTAAGATTTTTGAGCCAGGATTTAACCGTTGTGTAACCCTTTCTTTCCGAAAAGGGGGGGGGGGGGGAATTCGTGAACTTTCGAAAATAATTTTCTGCTCTTGGAAACAAGATAAAACTAACGTGAGTTTTTATGTTCTTCAATAAAAAATCTGCTCTTCTGGATTTGTTACATGTGTTTGCAACTCTTCTCGTATATCCGAACAGTTCAACGATAGATGAAATCTGGCTTCAGAAGAATTTTAGTCGTAAATAACAGTCGACGAGCGCTGTGATTTATAACGATCCTGTGAATGACTCAGGAAGTTTAAGTGCGTTTATTTCCCACATCGACCAGCCCCATGCTCAGATACAATGTCGGTTTCGTCGGATCCAAAGTACTGATTTTATGGATATCCCTAGGGCCATAATAGAATATAGCTGAAAAGAACGCTCATACAATTTGCAGCAAGTGATTGGGATTTTTGTCTTCAGAATCCAATACAGATCCGCCACCAGGAATCGAATCGAATTTTGTGGGAACATCGGATCCTATCGGATTTGTCGACCAGGGTTATTGCATATATACAGTGTGAAATGAGTTAACGGAGAACATAGGTCCATGTTATTGAGAAGTGTCGTATAGTTAACTTATTCAAAATATCCTTCACACATGAGTACGATAGATCACTTCTTATATTTTTGAACCGATTGCAAGTGTTCAGTCAAACATAGAAACAGATATAGCAAATTGATAAGCTGCACCCATACACAATATACAAAAGTGACGGAAGACCTATTAAAGAATGAGTAATCTATATCTCTAAAGTGTTTTATGGCACTCATCCTGACTCATTTATAGCTTACTAAACTTCCAATAGTCAGACAAACTAGCATAGCAAACCTCAGTAACACTTATGTATTACTGGATCCCATATTACAATACTACCTGATATCCAATAGAGTATTTTAATGAAGAGTAAAGTTCCAAGAATGTAAATATTTTTTCTTCATAATTTCTTTTGCAGCTATCCAACATTTTATTTACCGACTTTACTATCTGATTTTATTTCTGTATCTTTATTGCTGTTACTATATAATGGCTCATCAGTCGATGTCCAGCACAGCGAAAACCAACTGCCGTCAATGTGCTCCAAAGCCAGTGGCTGCTATCACTTCGTGCAAGGGATGTTCCGAAGATTTCTGCCGTAAGCATTTTAATGAGCATCGCGATCAACTTTCCAACCAACTGCATGTGGTGATTAACCAACACGATAATATACTTCAGAGTTTGCAACCGCAAGCTGCATCCAGATCGAATACATCAAGAGTTGAAAGAGCCAATCAACTATTACAACAGATTGAACAATGGAAGACCAATGCTATCGGACAAGTGATGAGAGTCGCAAAAGACGCTACTGACACTATTGAGCGCTTGTTTAACACAGAGATCCAACTGCAAAAACTTCGAGAACGAACACGAGTAATTACAAAAGAGCTTAGAGATCAAGAAGAATCAGATAGCTTTGTTGAATCCGATATTCAAAGATGGACGAAGCAATTAGAAGAAATAAAGAATGACGCCACACGCCCATTACCTTTTGCGATTCAACCTCCAAAAATTGAAATCCAATCGATACCTTGGGACAGCATAATCAAAATACACTCCGCTCCTCCGTCCACTAAAACAACAAATCGCGCACAAGCACCACCAACAATATTCAAACCATGTCATCATCCGCTCCACTATTACACATCAATCATTCATTTCATCTACATCGTTTTTGAACACAACGCTACATTCCAGGAACCCACAACTCCTACACCTCACCGCCATAAGCGTATTCAAAACTCACGACATACCAATAAATAAATCATATCTACCACACATTTACCCAGACATACCCATACTCCAATACACTAAGCTGCATAATAATTCATACATCCTTTCAAACGATAGACCCAACTACACACCTTCACCTACTCCCAACAGACAAACATATACGAACACACTCCGTCGACTGATACTTCAAATACCGTATGGAACTGCACCGCTCTCGCATGGTATTCTTCGTCCGACTACACTCAAAAATATAAGAATACGCTTAGGAGCCTGGTAGCTCGAATACTCTGTGATGCTCGACGGCTCTCTCAGATCATTGTTCCTTCACGAATGCAGACGAATATACGAATACATTCAGTCGTGTCACAGTTCGAACGCTGTGTGATGCTCGCCTGCCCTCTGAGATCATTGTTCCTTCACTAATGCAGACAAATATACGAATACATTCAGCCGCCTGACAGATCGAATGCTGTGCGATACTCCTCTGCTCTCTGAGATCATTGATCCTTCACCAATGCACACCAATATACGAACACAATAAGAAGCCTGACAGATCGAACGCTGTGTGACGCTGGACTACTCTCTGAGATCATTGATCCTTCACGAATGCAGACAAATATGCGAATACATTCAGTGGCCTAACAGTTCGAAAGCTATGTGGTGCTCGACTGCTCTCTGAGATCATTGTTCCTTCACCAATGCACACAAATATTCGGATACATTCAGGAGCCTGACAGATCGACTTCTGTGTGATGCTCGACTGCTCTCTGAGATCATTGTTCCTTCACGAATGCAGACAAATATTCGGATACACTCAGAAGCCTGACAGTTCGAATGCTGTGTGATGCTCTACTGCTCTCTGAGATCATTGTTCCTTCACGGATGGAGACAAATATACGAATACATTCAGATGCCAAACAGTTCGAATCATGTGTGAACTATACTGCTCCCTGAGATCATCGTGCGCTTCATGAATGCGCACAAATATACGAATAAATTCAGGCGCCTGATAGTTCGAATGCTGGGTGATACTCGACTGCTCTCTGAGATCATTGTTCCTTCACCAATGCTGAGAAATATGCGAATACATTCGGCCGGCTGATAGTTCGAACGCTGTGCGATACTCCACTGCTCTCTGAGATCATTGTTCCTTCACGAATACAGACAAATATTCGGATACATTCAGGAGCCTGACAGACCGAATGCAGTGGGATACTCAACTGCTCTTTGAGGTCCTTCTACCTCTCCGGGTGGATAGAAATATTCGGATACATTCAGTGGCCGGACAGATCGAATGCTGTGTGATGCTCAACTGCTTTCTGAGACCATTGTTCCTTCACGAATGCAGGCAAATATTCGGATACATTCAGGAGCCTGATGGATCGAACGCTGTGCGATGCTCCACTGCTCTCTGAGATCATTGTTCCTTCACCAATGCAGACAAATATTCGGATACATTCAGGAGCCTGATGGATCGAACGCTGTGTGATGCTCGACTGCTTTCTGAGACCATTGTTCCTTCACCAATGCAGACAAATATTCGGATACATTCAGGAGCCTGATGGATCGAACGCTGTGTGATGCTCGACTGCTTTCTGAGACCATTGTTCCTTCACCAATGCAGACAAATATTCGGATACATTCAGGAGCCTGATGGATGGAACGCTGTGCGATGCTCCACTGCTCTCTGAGATCATTGTTCCTTCACCAATGCAGACGCATACGCGAATACATTCAGCAGCCTCACAGTTTGAATACTGTGTGATACTCGGCTGCTGGCGTAGGTCTGTGTTCCTCTGCGAATGCAGCAAGTATAGGAATAGATTGCGCGGACCGGCAGTTCCAATGCTGTGTGATAGTCGATTGCTCGCGTAGGTCTTTGTTTCTTTACGAATGCGGAGAAATATACGAATACTTTGCGCGGACCGACAGTTCCAATGGTATGTGATATTCGGGTACTCTGTGAGGGCATTTGTCCTCTACCAATGGACATAAATATAGGAATACATTCAGCGGACTGGTAGTTCGGATCCTGGGTGGTACTGCAGTGCGCTCTGAGATTGTTGTTTTGAGATGGATATGTATGAACGTATGAACAGGTGGAGAAGAAGGCTCGGTCAAATGGTGTGTGATAGTTTGCTTTCGTTACAAAAGATGATCCTTTTGTGCCGATGGTTAGAGATAAGAATAGTCTTCGTAGTCGTGCGGTTCATCAGTGGTGTTATCGGGGAATGGTAGATTGTATTGTGTGTGAGCAACGTTGGAGTGTAAATAGAGAGGAGCAGTTTGAAGCGTGATAGTTCATGTAATGTGAAGTGTTGGTCGTGGGCTTTTGTCACGTGCTCTCGTGGGTGGAATGTGAAATTGTGAACTTGGTGAAAAGAGCCGTAGTTCGAGTTCGTGGGTGGTATGCAGGAAGATGTTGAGTTATGGTTATATTGCTGTGTATGTCGGAATAAGCGAACGGTTCGGGTAACTTGGTGAGTCGCTTATGGTGTGATAGTGAGTGGCAGTTAGCGTGAAGATTGGGGTTTGTAAAGTATTGTAGGTGAATGAAGTATAAACGAGTTGCACGCAGTTCAAGAATAATGAAACAATATTCAATAGTGGCATATAATAAGGTCTTATGATCGTGTAGAACGAAGATATCGACTGTATTGTAAGTAGAATTGTTCGGTAGACGCGATCGTGTTGGGAAGTAGTTGTCAGAAGTGCAGTATGGAAGGAGGATGATCATTGATGAAGTGTATTTGTTCAAAAAGTACGGGGCCGCAAGAGATGAAATAGGTAGGATATTTGTTGGTGGGGAAACGAAAAGCGAATAATCGAGAGAAATACACTGCTTGGGATATGTTACTGTGCGGCTTAAGGTGTTGGCTATGAAAATGGTTGCTGTGACGATGTAATCGGGTCGAAGAACGTGTGAAGGTCCAACTTGTCTTCTTAGTTTTTACTGGTGGCCAAACTGTGCTAAGCATCTCAAGCGGTGAAGAAGAAAAAGTGACTACATTTTTTTAATTATTATTCACTTGTTCGATTGTGCTAAGAAATATAATCAAGAAAAAACTGTTAGAAATCCGATATTGACTTTTTTTGTATATAATCGTCGACCAAGTATGTGTTTTCAGTTTATATCTTCAAGCCGTTCTTCGAAGGCGAGCTAATAAAGAAACTGACTCGTACTCTAGGACTGTGTTCTGTGTAGAATACAATTTTCGAAATCCAAAAATAATTGATCATCTCCTTATTTTACTGTTGAAGAAGCAGGAGATATCATGGTATGGTATGGTGATAACAAGCTACAAAGTGTTGACACGGTATGTAGTGCCATCTATACTGATGAGAAGTATGGATTTTTGTTGATCAGTGAAGAAATTGTCGGAAATAATTATCATAAAGATAGAACTATTAGTTTTATTCACATAGATGACTTACGATAATCGATCTCCAAGTATTAACACATCAGAAATAAGGCAAAATGAATCGCCAATGGATGAATTTTGTTCACGTAGACGTGCGTCCATATTATTTATTTATGTTTATTTATTTTCCACATTATCACTAAAATTTCTTTTTTTTGTGTTTTAAATGCTAAAAATAGTTTAATTTTAGATATATCACTATCTGTTCCATTCTTGATGGTAATAAAGAACATTTTTCATCAGGATTTAATAGCTAATGATTCGTTTTGTTTCCTACTTTGTTTATTTGTAGCAAAAAAATACCGATACAAGTCGTGGTAGTGCTGCCGGATTATCAATGGATAATCAAGAAAAATTACTCGCTGATGCTTTACAAAACGTGCGTCAACATGCCTTTGCAATGAAACGTGTACTCGATCAACAATCCGTGATGGAAGGACTTAAACATGCTGCTAACATGCTTGGAGAATTACGTACATCGCTTCTTTCACCCAAAAATTACTATGAACTACGTATGAAAGATTGAGAAAAACTGTTCATCTTCATGTTCTCTTCTGAATGATAGATGTTGTTGTCGTGGAAGAACTTCACCATCTTGAACTCTATCTGACGGACGAATTCGAACATGGACGTGGCAGTCACGATCTGTATGAAGTTGTACAATATGCAGGAAACATTGTTCCGCGATTGTGAGTAACTCTTCGATGTAATTTCTTTCCAACAATTTCGTACGTTTCAGATATTTGCTGATTACTATTGGTCACGTTTATATCCGAGCAAATGAATTGCCTCGCCGTGAAGTACTTCGTGATCTGGTGGAAATGTGCCGAGGTGTTCAACATCCATTACGTGGTTTATTTCTTCGTAATTACCTTTTGCAATGCGCGAAGAGTTTACTACCCGATACTGAAGAAGAAAATCAGTAAGATTAAAAATCTTCGTCCAACAGTACATGTGCAGCGTTTCTGTAGAGAAGAAAATAAGTCAGGTACCATACTTGATTCATTGGATTTCATTCTGCTGAATTTTTCGGAAATGAATAAACTTTGGGTACGAATGCAATATCAAGGGCATACACGGTAAAATGTGATAAGATTTGAGAATCAATCAAATTTTGATTGATATTTAGAGATCTCCAACGACGTGAACAAGAACGTCGAGAATTACGTATTTTAGTTGGAACGAATTTAGTACGTTTAAGTGAACTTGAATGTGTGAATGTTGAACGCTATAAAACAGTAAGTTGAA